TCTCCCTATCGATCTCGTTCCCATCGCGATGGCGTTTAAATTCCTGCAAGATCCGCTAGCTTAGCACGTTTCGACCACTCTTGCACATCTGATTTCCTTCAGATTCAATCACGGCTGGAACAGGCAGAGCAGACAGCCTTTAGACCAGGGAACAGTTAATATGTCCCAGATTTAATGTAAAGATAAACTAACTCCACAGCACTGTTCGTCGGTGACAGGCACGAAGCATTTTATGGTATCCTATCGATTCAAAGCGACAGAAACCGTAGAGGGATTTTTCCGTAGTGCTGAATTTTTCTAAGACAAATTACCATCCCTTCCAATGCGGGGAGAGTTAGCGCTTCTGCGCCGGTTTCGTTTCTTTTTTAATCAATTATATATCTGTCACGTACCTATGTTTTCATGTCTCGAAAGCACTCCTGCAATTGAAACGCTGATAATATTATCTGAAGGGATAATTTACCTCGAGGGTATAATTGTTAGTCAGCCTTTCCTCAGATTCTCTGACGAAGTAGCCCACTCACTACTGAAATTACTGATAAATTTGCATTTTAGGGACAGGTAAAATGCTACAGTGGCTACGTTAACGTCTCCTAAATGGCAGCTATTTCCTTTTCAGATTGCAATCAGAAAACCTCCAGTTGTGTCAGCTGTGCCACTCGACGGTCCGAACAAGAGCTCCACACTGTAACACACACGAAGCAAACCATGAATTAATCTCTCTCTCTGCAGCCCAAAACAGCGAGGTAAACCCAAGATCCCGTTTCACGAAACCATGAGATTTGCCCCGCGGTTTTCTACAGGGGACGGATTTCTGTTCTGCTTCCTTCAGCGGAGCATGCCATCATTATCGCGACCACTTCATTTAGTTCTGCATTAAAAAAAAAAAAAAACAAACGCAAACTCTCCCAACAAGCAAAAAAAGGAAAATCACAACAAAATTTTCTAAGTCAATAGCTTTTTCATTTCCCTGGAAAAGCAACGAACAGAGCATCTGGCTCCAGATCTGTAGCTTTTAATAGTTTTACTTACTGGAAAGATACGAAAAGATTTTCCCCCTAACTATTCTATGCACCTGAACGTGATTATTATTAAAATTATTGCGGCTGGATGCATCGATGTTCATATAAGGTTGAGTTTAATTCTCTCTTTATTGCAGCTTCAGTGTCTGATAGGTTCGGTGTAAAGGGGGCTCTGAATGTTGCGCTTAAACCCTCTGCCGCCAGTGTTTAACAAACAGCGTAAAGAATCTGTAAGTGCAACAGCTGAGTAACAGCCGTAATTATTAATAACAGCAATAACGCGCACAAAGCGACTTTGCGCAAGTCCGAAAGATTTTTTCCGAGCAAAACGGAATCCCAGGTGCCGCGCTCCCCGAGAGCTCACCCTGCCTCTCCGTTTCGGAGGGGAGCGGGAGGCTGGTCCCAGCACGGCCACGGGAGCGGGGG